AATCGAGTAGCAACCAGTATGGAATATCTGAGAAATCTTTTTGAAGTGACGAAAGATGAACTCACATGTCCCGAGGATGCTCTGGTACTCTACATGCATTGCGTTGCCCTATCCATGAACATGCGTCTAGTGGGTATCGGAGCGGAATGGTCTTCCCAATGCGAACAGATAGAATCGGGTCGTTTGCCAGAAGGTTGGAATTCGAATCGATCACATTATCGCATAAGATACGTGGACAAATATGAGGATCGATACCTGCTGCACGTGTCGAATAACGAAAGCTGCAAATATCTGTTTGTCTCTTGGACCGATCCAGATACAGAAAATATCAACGTTAATACCTTTGTAACAGAAGAATATGCAGGAGATTGTTGGAAAGAATATTTGTTAGCTTACAACGAAAATATGAGAAGTTTCGAAGAAAAGATGAGAAACGTGATAAGAACTGGAGTCCGTAATAAAAGGGATAAAGATTATGCTAAAGAACAGGCAGAAAGAGCCGCTGCAACTACACCAAAGAAGAAGAAGATGGTTCTCAAAGAAATCTTTCCTAATGAGTGATTAATATTAATTAGTTTCATCTTCTAAACTTTTTTCTGTACAATACTATCAAAATTTATAATAAACAATAATCAGTTATGCTTGTAAGGTATTTATGGTTTTAACCTTTGAGCCATTGGTGGCACTCTGAGTACTTCAAAGATGTCTTTATACTCGTAAGCAAAATGCAAGATTGAAGATCCATAGTTCTTCATATAAGAATGTTCAGATGATTCATAAAGATTAGCAAGTTATGAGTAGGTCTACGAAAAGTTTATGAATATGGGTTGAGAGCCATTGTTTTAAAGATGGTACAATATTAATATTTCTAAAACTACAGGTTCTACCTCTTATAAAATTCTTAATGAATTCCTAGATTAATTTTAATTATGGGCATACCTAATGGCATCCTTCTTTAGGATTTCTCCACCAATATATTTTTTTTTGTATCTGTATGAAGCTTGCAAATAAATTGGGATGAAGACCTGAAAACTGATCGAAACGGATTTAATTAAATATTTAATTTTACTGTTTTTAATTAAAATTTTGATTTTTTTCGTGTTATACGGAAACATATGGAAAAGAATGTAA